GAACAGTGCTGGGGAATTGGGGGAAGGGGAACAGACAAGTTGCTGTCATTTTGTTCTTCAGTCTAGTTGTGGAGGATGTTGCTTCACTGGCCCAAGATGCGCTCTTCCCGGGGGAGGCAGATCAGTCGCCGGCTTCTGGACGGCCGCTCATTGCAGCTGCTGGCCGCTCACGCTGGGAGAAGCCAATATTCTTATAGAGAGTTTTTCCTCCCTGATTGATATGGAATGTACATATACACCTTTAAAAACTATTAGAAATAGGGAAAATAGGGAGGAAGAAATAAAACCCACCTTTCATCTCACCAGAAATAGCCACTGTTAAGACGTTTAGTTCATTTCTTACCGAGTATGTTTCTATGTGTAAATACAGAAGAAAAGCATGATCGTATTGCAAAATAGTTTTTTGTTTGTTTGTATTTTTAAGTTGCAGGAAAGGAGTTTATTAGAAGAAAAAGTACATTTCAAAGAAACAGAAGCTGGCCTGAACAGTAGAGAATGGCTCAAGGGCCATTATTAGTAGAAAAAGTACACTCCAAAGAACTTGGAGCGGGCCGAGCAAAAGAAGCTCAAAAGGCTGCAAAATATAGTTTGCATACTGCTCTTTCTAACATAACTTTGTATGTTAGCATTTCCCAGATCATGCCGTTAAAAATTATTCGAGAATTTAACTACTAATGACAACATGTAATAGCCCTAAAGATGACTGTATCTTATATTTAAATGCCTCGTAATGGGTTAAATTTTAAGTTGCTTGCATTTTTCACTATTATAAATAATGTGATAAGCAGCCTTGTTTGTCAATTTGTATTCACATCTGCCTATTTTCTTGGGATAAGTCCAGCCATGTCAGTGGTTGCCTTTTAAGCAGGGGTGTGATGGACTCAAGTGTATATTCGAACAGCCATGAAGACAGCGGTTGTGAAGAGGGGATTGGAAAGAGATGACCCAGAGGCAAGCAGAGCGAAGATGCTGTTAGAGCACTTTAGGCCAAGTGTGAGGGTGTAAACTACGGTGTTGCAGCAAGGTTGGAGAAGAGAGGTGATGTAATGACCTGACCGTCATGTTTGCTTGTGTATCGTCTCTGCATAGCAGCTTTCTGCGAGCCTGATGGAAGCTATCAGCAATTTTTCCATCTTAGTTCAGAAGTTTAGAGAGTCTAAGGCGGCAGTAGTGGGTGGGGCAAAGAAGGTGAAGAGGTTAATGGTTCTCTTCTCTGAAATAGGAAATACCTATGAGGAAAAACAGGTTTGAAGGGTTGGCTTAGAGGGGAGGAATGTATGAGCCCAGGATTAGGTGTATCAGGTAAAACTGTCAGGGATATAGTTTACAAATTGATCTAATATAATACTTAGGAGAGGGGTCAGGGCAGGATGTGAGGATGGGGGAGCCAACCCCTCCGAGATGATGGTATTGAGACCCTGGACACAAAAGTAGACCCAGAGATGAGGGTGTTTATGAGAAGAGACTTGGGATACGCCAGGGACACTCCTTACCCCTGAAGTGGCAGACAAGTGGGAAACCAGAGAAAGAGCTATGAGATAAGTACCAAGAAAACCAGAAGAGAAAGTTGTCAAGGGAGCCACAAGAGACAAGAGTTTGAAGGGAAAAGTCATCAAACTGTCAAGCAAGGGGAAGACTGGAAGGTGTCCAGGGGAGCGATTTAAATCACCTGTAAATGAGGGAGGAGCAGAGACAGAGGACTTGTGGGGCTGGCGCCAGGTTGTCGCCCTGTGGTGACGAATCGGGGGAGCGAGGGAGCGGGTCCATGTTCCTGGCTTTTGTCTACGAGAGCCTGTCAGGTAGGTAGAGCGGACAAGGCGACGGTGCGTGAGATGGAGCAACGGAAGCTTCACTTTCTCTTCATGTTCACATTAGACAAGAGAAGCTAGGTTTCTAAATTGTCATCTCTCCAGCATTTGCTATTTGCCATGTTAAAAGCCTTTTATTGGTGATGGTTTTTTTGGACAGACAAGCTTCCAATGAAAGCGCTTCTGCCCCATCTCCTAGCATCTTACTTCAAGTTCTGTTTAAACAAGCCGAGACCCCCATGGTTGCTCACACAAGACTCCTGCTCAGTTGTTAGGCTCCAGCATACTAATATTTGGAATTGTAGTTTTAAAATGTCAGACTATGACTTGTGCCCTTGAAGTTTGACCTTTACCTGAAGAATTGGTCAAAATGGGAAATGTTTAAATGTTGCAGTTTAGAGAATGGCTTTATTGTGTTGCCAAATGCTGTATGGCAGGGAGCTTTAATTCTAACAAGCTCTAATTAGAAAGAGAAAAAAAAATATCAAAGGATGATGTCAACCAGAATCAAGTGAACCAGAACAAGAAATACTTTTAGTGGTTACAGAACATCAGCAATGTGTGGTATAATCTTATTCACTTCCCTTCCTAGCAATGAAAATACTACAGGCTGTCTCTCGGGGGGCTCAGTCTTATTGAACACATAATCATTTTGATAGGTGTTTTTCGTAGGTAATGTGATGCTTTGAGGCTGCAGAAGTTTATTTTTAGAGATATGCAAAATGATTCTTGGCTTTAAAAATAAAACAATGTGGCAACTGTTTCTAATATAAGAAATGGATAGACTATGCAACATGTCCACTGGTTTCTTGCTTAATGGTGAATTCACCCATTTTTGAGTATTGTTTCTCTCAGCACAATTTCTTTAAAGATGTTGATGTCAAAAAGACATATCACTTTATTAGAGGTTATTAAGTTATAATAGAAAACAGTTGTCCATGTAGGCATATACATATACTATATACACTCGTATGTACAGGTGCGCATGCGTGCACACACGTGTGCACGCGCACACACACACACACAATTTAGCTTTGATAAAGAACCTGGTTATCCTTCTCTTAAGATGAGAGTTACCTTTCTCTAATACAAGATTTTACTAGGCAATCTTGCTCCTTCTTTCTGTTTGCTTTCTTGTGAAGTTCAGTATTATATCTTTTAATTCCCTTTGGACCTCTCTTCCTCCCCATCCTGTCTAGAACGTTTAGGCCTCTTTAATCATTATTTCACCATTCTTGTCACATCTCTTGCTCCTAGACTTTTCATTGAATCTAATTCAATCTGCTCAGCCTCAGCTTAATCATTCAACATCTTTGCTACTGTACCTGGGCTGCCGTCAGTTAAACTTGACAACCATGCCAATTGCCGCCTCTGTAAATTCAGGATCTCTAGTCTTTAGGCCCTCAGACAGCCTTAGTAAGCCTGTCATTTCCCTGAGCAGTTCTCCCCTCGGTGGCTATTTGACACTTCATCCTGTCTTCAAACCTCCTCCCAGCCTCCTATCCCCTTGGTCCCAGAAAATGATCTTGAGTCCTGTTTTATTGAGGGCTCCCGGCAGCACTCCTGGACACCCCGCCTTCGCTGCCCGTCTGGTCACCGCCTGCACATTTTCTCAGTCCACACCACCGTCGTTACCGTCTTGCGCGTTCTCCTTTACTCTGCCTGCAGGCGGCTCGAAAGAGTGGTGCCTGCCTGTTCGCCCCCTGTTCCCAGGCTTCCACCCAGGCTGCTCCTGGAGAAGTTTACCTGCGGACACCTGAGAGTTTTCACCCTTCGCTTTCTTTGGCCCTGTGGTGTTTTAACATTACTGAGCACTACCTCTAAGTACCTTCCTCAGTTTTTATGAAACCTCCTCTCCTTTGGATTTTCTCCCATCTTAGGTTCTCACAAATTCAAAGTTGCCATTTTCCCAAAAGAGCAGGAAAATACGTAAGCATTTACTACTTCACAAAATAATAATTGGTGTGAACGCTTACAATTCAATATTAACTATACTTCAAAAATTGTATTATACTTTTATATTATTAATACATAAATGCATTACAATTCAGCATGTTAGTTATACTTTTGAAAGTGAGAACTATGTGCTAACCACCGCCTTGTCCCTTCCTTCCTAGTTGATGAAGGAGTTCCCCTTGTTGAGCATGTTCAACATCCACGAGAACCTTCTAGAAGCCCTCCTGGAGCTGCAGGCGTACGCGGATGTCCAGGCTGTGTTGGCGAAGTATGACGGTGAGTCCGCACTTGTGTCTCCTTGTTCTTCGCCCTCTTTTTGGCGGACGTATTTCAGTGATTACAACGGCAGATACTTCCGCACAGCAGAGCCTTTTGGCAACTCTCCTCTTAGAGAATTTTCACCTATAGTTTTATGATGGCATTTTATGGAATTGTAGAATTTCATGGTTCGTGGGCCCAGAATGTCAAGTGGCCGCTGCCATACTCCCCTCCTGCCCTCCCAGCGGGTCCCCTGGCACCGCCCCTGTCAACACGAGCTGTGCGTTTTCTGCTTTGTTCCCTCCGTGGTCAGGAAGCTCGGAGTCGCTGCAGGCAGCACACGCTCTGTAGGGCAACCCTGACAGCTCAGCTCCTGCTGTCGGCCCAGTGACTGTCGCCACCACCTGCTGGTCACGTTGGTCCTTTGAAACAACTCTGAGCAGCCAGTGGCCCTTGCTATAGCTCTTGTGACAACTCAGTAAGCATCTGAAGATAAAATCATGTCCCCGTCCCCCTGGGGCTTCTCCCCTTAGCAGAATACCCCCGTTTCTTCACATGACGTGCTTTGAAGTCCCTTTGCCATCTGGTTACTCACTCGTGAGTTTATTCCATTTTGCCTGCTCTTAATAAACCGATGATGATGATGATGATGATAAAAATAATAATAATAATAACGGACACATCCTAGATATTTGAAAACTCTTCTGCTTATGTTGCCATTGTCTGTGAATCACTATTTGATTAATTGTACAAAAATTACCTGCCATGATGTAGCTGCTGAAGTCTCTGCAGAATTTCATACTATTCTGTCTTATTTCATCAACTCTTCCCCAAAATAAACATATTTACTTATAAAATGGATGTTAGGGAGTAGTTACTTATATTACACGATCACTTTGTACTTTATAAAATATTCTTTCTCTAGTAAGCATCTTTGGTGCATTTAAGGAATTATTCAGGTCAAAATTTCCAGAAATTCATCAAACATACAGAGCAAAGTGTACTATTTAAGTCTTATGTTTGACACACAGTTCTTCGTAAGGAATCTCCGAAATAGGCTGGAGTTGTTACCCCCTACAGTTGGGGGAACTGAGGCATTGTGAGACTGTTTTTGTTCTATTTTGTTGTTAATTCTTGCTCAAATTGGTGGAAACGAAAAGCCCTCAGCCAGTCATGACGTCTCTTGGTCCGTGCAAACACGAGCACCCTGTGTAACAAGAGACATGCTACTTAGCATGGAACTGATTTTAGAAAACGAGAAAGGTATTTGTGGTGCATTTTACGGTAAACAAAATAAAGACTGTCTGGCCTTCCCATCAGCTCACTTTCATTCTGTTTCGATGCTGGAATCTCACTGTTTGGTTGACTGGGAGTCTAAGCCATGAGACCACCTTATAGACAGAATGCTCGCACACTGAGGATCTTTGGTACCAAAGGAACCCAGTCCCATGCATTTGGGCTCCGGTGCCATGCACTTTTCCAAATGCCACCCTGTAGCCATCAGTGCCGTAACAAGCTTCCAGTGTCTCATCCCCAGTTCCGGCCTGTACTCACCAGGATCCATTAGGGCTTAAGAGAAAAAGGTTTCACCAATAGAGCCTTTGGGGCTTGCACATCTCTTAAGGCTCCTTTCATGAAGATCTCAGTTCATTACAGAAATCATCAGCTTTGTATTATGACAGATTGTAAAATAAAGAAATGAACTCATTTGGAGACTTCTGTCATCTCTATCTACCCCATTGCATGGCCTCTGTTCCACAAGAGTTGAAAGCTGATTTATTACATTCTGATAACATATGTTCCCATTATTTGTCACAATAGTCGTCCCGCCCTCCACTAGAACTTGGCTTACACATTGCAGAATTCCTTTGTTGCAAATGGACAAACTTACCATACTAGGGCTCTTGTGTTGAGTTTTGTTTATGTTGTGTACCTGGCAACAGACATGATGTTCTTATTCATTATTCATGGGAAAAAAAGCCTCATTAGTGGCAGGACACATACTGTTGCTGAGATGCCTCGTTGGGGTTTTGAGTTCAGCAGTTGTCAATAGACTGCAGATGACCTAACTCCAACTAAATTCTGGAGGGTGTTTTTGTGTGGACTTGGCTCAGGCCTGTGTCACTTACCGTAGAAACATGATGAAGTGGCTGCTGAAGTTGCTGTGCTTGAGGAGTGAGCTGCAACCACACAAGACTATTAAGACGAGCCTCTTGTTCCTCACCACAGACCGTAAAACAGGCTCTTTCAAGATCATCCCTGCTGCTTTTCCTGGAGACCCAAAGGACCTCTACCGAGTTGTCGTCCCATTTTCTGGCCCTGTGTGAGGAAGTGGGTGCTTTAGATGGTCCGGGGTGCAGACAGCAATTTGGGGCGCCCTGCTCTTCACCCTGGTTCAGACGTGGTCATTCTAACCCACAAGATGCCAGAGGCGGCGCCCTGAATCCCAGCTTCTACGTCCTCCTCCGTACAGCCACACCCAGAGCAGCAGGGTTATATGTTAGCTTTGCAAATTGGAATGCTCTGGTTGGGTAGCTGTTTCCTGGATGGTTTCTGGGTGCAGCAATCCTTCTTTATTACATTAGTTAGGTGGCTGAATTTTGTTAAGTAGTATGTTGGGAAGTGACACAATGGGATTACTGCTGCTTTTCTGACCTTTGCAAAAAGATTTAGAAATATGGCAGGGCATGGTGTGGGGGGTGGGGAAAGCAACGTGTTCTGAGGAAAGGAGGGAGGCAACATATATTCCCTTTCCCTCATTCTTCTTCTTCACCGTGAGTGTGTGTGAGTGTGCGTGTGTGTGAGTGTGTGTTGAGTGTGCATGTGTGTGTGTAAGTGCAAGTGAGTGTGTGTGTGTTCTTGTGTGAGTGTGCGGGTGAGTGCGTGTATGTGTGCGTGTATATGAGTGTGTGTGTATGAGTGTGAGTGTATGTGAGTGTGCACATGAGTGTGCGGGTGTGTATGGGCGAGTGTGTGTGGGTGTGTGTGAATGTGTGTGCGTGAGTGTGTGAGTGTGACTGCGTGTGTGAGCGTGTGTGAATGTGTGTATGAGTGTGAGTGCGCGTGAGTGTGTGTGTGCGCACGTGTGTGAGTGTGTGTATGAGTGTGTGTGTGTGTGTGTGTGTGTGTGCGCGTTTGTGTTGTGTGTATATGTTTTGGCTTGGAGTTTTAAAAGTGACATTCACAAACTCCTTTTACAGTGAAGCGCTCTGGAAGCCCTAGCTCCTGAGTAGGATTACCAGTTAATTGGTCACACATCCTTGTCATCTGCAATCTAATGTTGAATTTGCCCTTGAGATAACTTCTCATGTTATATTATTACAGACATTAGTCTGAAATGCTGTCTCGCCATCCTCAGGAGTTTTCATACTCTCATTTTCAATTTGTTAACCAACACTTTGGGGGGGTAGTTTTTTGTTTGTTTTTTTAAAGATTTTTATTGGAGAGTTGGGGGGATGGGAACAGTGCTGGGGAATTGGGGGAAGGGGAACAGACAAGTTGCTGTCGTTTTGTTCTTCAGTCTAGTTGTGGAGGACGTTGCTTCACTGGCTCAAGTTGGCACCATCATTGCGCTCTTCCCAGGTGAGGCAGATCAGTCGCCAGCTTCTGGACGGCCGCTCACTGCGGCTGCTGGCTGCTCACGCTGGCGGCTGGCTACACACGGTAGCCCATGGCAACCCACTGCAGTAGGGGCTGCAGCCTACGCTGTCGCCAGCAAGGCGACTCATGGCAGCCCAGCTCCAGGTTGAGCTGTTGTTCAGCATCTTAGCTGCAGAGGGCAGTGTCACTGGCCCTCATATGTGGAATCCAAACTGGGGCCCTCTGGCGTCCCAAGCCAGTTCTTAACCATCGCGCCACTCAGCCGGCCAGTGCGGGTAGTTTTTATCCAGGTGGTTGGTCTTGGTTTTAGAGCGTCCTTCACACAATGACTAAAATAACAGCTAGCATTCATTTAGTCTTATGTGTTGGGGTCAGACGTGACTCTGAGCTGGGCATGTGTGAACTGATTGATTCTCACCACAAGCATATCAGGTAGATACTATTATCAGCTCCGCTGTACAGCTGTGCTCACTGATACAGAGAGAAGTAACTTGTTTAAATGAAGAGCCTCAGATGTCAAAGTTAAGCCATGAAGCTGTTAGGAGAGAACAGAGAGAAACTGAGAACATTCTTGTTTCAATAAGATGTGAACTCTATGAGGAAAGGAAAGCCAAGATAAAAACTGAGGTGGTCTGACTCCTGGCCATGGCCTTAACCATCACACTTTCACTGTCCCTGCTGTTGGCAATGTTTTTTAAGTTGTGTTTATTAATGTCATTCTTGTTGTTGTGAGTATTAACTACAACTTATTGAGAAACTCTCATGTGCCAATTGCATGTAGACATTACCTGTAACCCTTGCCGTAACCTTGCAAGGAGGCAGTTACTCCATTTTAGCAGATTCAGAAACCGAGGCTTGTGAGTTTAAGTAACTTTCAAGACCACATTCCTTGCAAACTGCAGAACTGGGATTCAAGTCAGGTTATCTGGTTCTAAAGCCCATGTGTTTTTCATAAGCATAAGCCTTACTGAAGTGACTTGCTCTGCCTCTCTCACTTCTCTTACAAAGGCATGAACTAGGCAGGCCAGAGCTGTGTGCAGGACTTTAGTGATGCCAAATTGTTTTAAGATTCCTTTGTAATCATTCCTTAAGAAGGACGTGTATCTACATTTGCTTATCTTTCTGAAACTGTCTTCAAAATATGGCTTTCCATCTTCAATCAAGTTGGGCCTGATTTCTTTAGTCACAAAGGAGATTTGATGCATGGTGTTCATTTAATTTGAGGTTTATCTTTTTTTTTTTCAGTCATACGTTTACTACAAAGACAGAAATGTTTTTAAGATCATTAAGTCATCAGTACCTTCTTTGGGAACCATTACGAAAGTTGTTACAAGCTTTGGATTGCCTCTCAAAGGAGCTTAGGCCATCTAGGTTGAAAACTTAAGCCTCAAAGATTAGGGTGGGAATGTGGAGAATGC